AAACTATGAAAATATCTTAAAAGTTGTTCCTGTGAATCTTTATGTCCTGTTTTGAATGATTAATCACATTTCAGTTCTGTATCCTGTCTTAATCACATACTCCCTTTGTGACATCCTCCCTTTGTGAATTACATCCTTCCTTTGTAATAAATCCCTCCCTACAAAAGAGAATAAAAGGCTGAGGTAGAGTGAGTTCTGCATGCAATGCTGTGCAATGCTAGGCAATATGTTTGTAGATCTGTCTACCTGCCAGCTTGCATCATATCTGTGTGTCTGTTTTTTTTGTATATATTTCATCTCTCTCTGTCTCTATCCCTTTCGCCGCCAGATCTCCCTTCTTCGTGACACCCACACTTCCTTGTCGAGGCTAGAACCAGACATAGGACCTCGACAACTCGGCAGTTAGCAGCCCAATGTTCATCCCACTATGCCACCAGGGCTCCAGTTCCACTTTACAGGGTAAAATGTCCCAGATTGCATGGGGATTTTTCAATGAAGCACTGAAAGTCTTGGGTTTAGCAAAGTTAATGCTGTTCATTGTGGGGCAAAAGGGAAAAGGTGAGGTAATTCAGAACATTTCATTAGGTTAAGCTGAAAAACAGTCAGAGTGTCTCTAATATATTACTGAACTGCTCTCTTTATTATATGCCTATTTTAATTGATCCATGGTTACAATATGAGAAACAGTTTAAGTGCATCAGATACATCTTAAAAAGGTATGCTTTTACTTAAATGCTTAGGTAAATTATTTAAACGATGCTCTCCAATAACGAATTAAAAAAAAAGAAGTTACACTGGAAATAAGTTTGTCCCACAGTTGAACTACAGAGTTTGAAAATTAAACCTGTAAAAAGTTATTATTCTATTTGAGGGTAAAACAAAAAGTATTGCACAAAATCATAGTAACCTTTATTAAACATAAATATCAAGATGTGAAGTATAGTATTGTGAAACATTCTCCCTCCATCTAGGTCTATATACTTCTGAAGGCATTGTTTCCATCTCTAACTTTTCCTCGAAGAATTCAAGCTCTTTGATTTTCATCATGTAAAAATGGCAGTTTAGGCATCTGCAGGAGACTCAAATTGTGTTCCCCTTAGTTTTAGTACCAAAAAGAATTCCGAAGGGGCAAGATCACGGATATAAGGTACATGGGGTATGTTTTCCAATTAAATTCTCATAGGACAGTCCTTGCTAACCTGGAAGAATGAGAACATGCACTGTCATGATGGGGGAAAAATTTTTATTTTAACAACTTTGTCTTTTTCTCACCAGTGCAGTTTTCCATTTTCTTAAAACTTTATAATAATAAGCCCCTGTGATTATCCTGTGTCCTTTAGGAAAATCTATAAGGATTACCCTTTTGGCACCCCAAAAACCAGGTGCTATAACTGTGTGAGCTGACCTCTCTGCCTTGAATTTAACTGGCCCAGCAGATGCCTTTGGAAGCCAAAGTTTTGAATAGCCCTTTTTATGAAGGCATCCTAAAGAGACTAAGAGTATACACTGAACTTGTCTGCAGTCATCCTGATTGCAGAGGCATGCTTAAATGTGTTTTGCTTGGAATAAATGCATGCATATATGGACTGGAACCCTTGTAGCACTACTTTTTCCACTTACCCTTATTTATATTAACATATATCTATTTCCAAATTTGTACATTTATAAAATCTTACCTACGACAGAGACTTGAAGTAGTTCGATTTTATCATTAAGGCCTGCAGCTTGTAGATTGTCATGTGCTCCTAGTACCTGTGAGTCACTAACATCAGCACCCACATAATACACATCCTATAAGGAAAGAAATTCATACTTCAAGTATAAATAATATTATTTTGTGTAGTAAAAAATTGCATATTGTTAAAATGATGAAAATAAAATTAATGGATTTGTTAATTCAATCTAAAACATACTTAGAGTAGTTCATTAAAATAATTTTGAAAGGCAACAATTTTAAAGTTTTATCAACATTTAAAAATCTGTTAACATTTTACAATGAAAATATCTAAGGGACTAAAATGTGTATAATCTATAGCATGATGAATTAATGAAGTGCTGTCTTATATTTCTGGTAAAGCACTGGCAGCACTTCAATGGTAAAAAATGCTTTGTTTCTGTTTTATTTTGTGCATTACTATGTACATCTGGCAGTAGCCAATAATGAGGCGGGAGGCAAGGGGAATGCTGGCTGTGATAGCTAAGGTTCTGTGTCACCGTGGCTGGACCATGATTCTCAGGGGTTTGTGGTTATGGAATGATATAATTTGGAAGTTATGTGATGCTAGTCATCTGTGAAACTGTTGTGGTTATCCTCCAGTTTCACACTAATACCAGTTTTTGCATAATGGTCTGATGTTTGGAACCTAACCATGTGGATAGCTAAACAGCGTTTCATATAATTAAAAATTGTAACCTACTTGTAAATAATGTATACATACTAATGTATGCTTATATGTATTGGAGTCCTGATGTGGTGTTGTAGGATAAGCACTGGACGGCAAGGTCGGTTTCAATCACAAGGTCAGCAGTTCAAACGCATCAGCTGTTCCTTGGAGACCCTGTACAGGGTCACTATGAGTTGGAACCAACTGGAAGGCACTTAACAATAACAACAACATATATAAATATATACATATATATTACTTGATTCATCAAAGTTTAGAACTTACTGGCCATTCTTTAGCAGCTTCCAAAAGTATTGTTCCAAGTCCACACAATGGATCTAAAACAAAGGTACCAACCTACAGACAGAAATATTGATGTAAGTATTATTGTCTAGAAAAACAGGTTTTTAAAAAGAAACCTAAAACTTGAGGAATCAATATTTTATAAGTTAAAAAAAGTTTGCTTTTTTTAATTTATGAGGGATTTCATGTACTTTAAAGGTCTAAGGCAAGAATATGCTTGGCATGTTTGAAGAATAGCAAGGCCAGCGTGCTCAAAAGCACAGTGAGGAAGAGGGAATTTCACTGGCATTATCATTGAGAAAGCAAGGTTTTGTGTCATGATGAAGTGGGTAGGCATAGCCATTGGATATTAGCTACATGTCCACACTCCTCATTTTGGAACCCAAGATGATGAAGTAGTCACTATCTACATGGGACAGTGCCACCACTGTGGCAGGGAGGAAGACAGTATGGAAAACTGTACACTGGCTCTTAGTGCTACCATCCAGAAGTGATGTCTGTCACACCACCATTTAACTGGCTAATGCATGTTACAAACACAATTCCACCAGACGAGGGAAGTGTAACTCTACTTGTATCTGAGAGGAAAAGAGGAAATTTAAGAGGACAAAACTAATTACTCCCACTATGGGCATTAGATCATGCTAGATCTTTTGGGTACTGTAATGATTCTAGATTTTGTCCTGAAGGAGATGGGAAACTATTAGAGGGTTTTGAGAAGAGGAGTTAACATGACATTACATTTCAGAGGGATCACTTCTGGCTGCTCTCAGTGTTAGGCTAGTTCGGGTGTCCTGACAAAAGAAGATGGTGGTGTAAATTAATAGTATTGGTACTGGGGGTGGGAAATGTGTGGACTCTGGAAATTTAAGGGGAAGTCAACAGGATATGCTGATGGATTGGATGTGGAATGTGAAAGAAAGGCTGGATGACTGACTTACGCAGTTGGAAGACCAGAGTTGCCTGTTACTGAGATGGTTAGGGAAGAGACAAGAACATAGTTCTAGAAATGTTAAGTTTGGAATTCTATGAGATTCCCAGGCATGGATGCCAAGTGGGTCACTGGATATAGGTCTGGAGTTCAAAGGAAATGTTGAGGTCATAGATATAAACTTAGGAACAGTTAGCGTTGATCAGTTTATAAGTGGTATTTAAAATGAAAGAACTAAATGAGAGCATATAAGAAGCAAAAAGTCTACGGACTGCTTCCTGATATTCTCTAAAGTACGGATGTCTAGAAGATGAAGAAGAGTGTTGTTTCCAAAGAAAGTGAAGAAAACAAAATGTTCAAAAGGAGAGTAATCACTGTGTCAAAGTGCTTATAACCTAAGTAAGATGAGGACTGAGGATTGGGCAACATGGCTACAATTGTGATTCTGAAAAAGGTAGTTTCAATAGAGTGCTGGTAACGAAAGCCTGGAGAAAGCAGATACATGAGAGGATGGGAGGAGAGGAAGCAACGACATCAAACACAGACAACAAATTTAGGAGTTTTGATGTAAAGGGAAGCAAAGAAAAGAGAGTTGAAGGAAAATGTGAGTTTAAGAGAGAACTTTTATTTAAGTTATAAGATAGTAAAATAAGTACATATGAGGGTAAGTCAAAATATCCTGCTACAAAATCATATAAAAAAATATCAAAATGTGAAACTATTGTTTCTCAGCATATCCTCCATATTGTTGTTGTTATGTGCTGTGGAGTCGGTTCTGACTCATAGAAACCCTGTATAGGGTTTCCGAGGCTGTAAATCTTTATAGGAGCAGAAAGTCTCATCTTTCTCCCATGGAACAGCTGGTTCTGAAGGCAGTATTACCATCTATCTAACCCTTCCTCAACTATCTGGCCAACTGATTGGAAGAGATCCGTATTTGTGCCCATTTCAAAGAGAGGTGACCAAATGGAATGCTGAAATCATTGGACAATATCTTTGATATCCCATGTAAGTAAAGTTTTACTAAAGGTAATACATAAATGGCTGCAAGCATACATTAACAGAGAACTTCCAGAGGTTCAAGCTGGATTCAAAAGAGGACGTGGAATGATCACTGCTGATGTCAAATGGAGCTTGGCTGAAAGCAGGGAATACCAGAAAGATGTTTACCTGTGCTTTATTGACTATGCAAAGGCTTTCGATTATGTGGATCATGACAAACTATGGACAACCTTGCAAACTATGAGTATTTTGGAACACTTAATTGTGCTCATGAGGAATCTGTACATGGACAAAGAGGTAGTTGTTCTAATAGAACATGGGAACACTGAATGGTTTAAAATTAAGAAAGGCGTGCGACAGGTTTGTATTCTTTCACCATACTTATTCAACCTGTATGCTGAGTAAATAATCTGAGAAGCTGGGTTATATGAAGAAAAACATGGCATCAGGATCGGAGGAAGATTAACAACCTGCAATATGCAGATGATACAATCTTGCCTGCTGAAAGTGAAGAGGACTTAAAGTATTTACTGATGAAAATCAAAGACCACAGCCTTTGGTATGGATTGCATCTCAACGCAAAGAAAACAAAAATCTTCACCACTGGACCAATAAACAACATTCTTTTCAATGAAGAAAAGACTGAAGTTGTCAAGGACTTTTTTCTTCTTGCATCGACTATCAACACTCATGGAAGCAGCAGTCAAGAAATCAGACGATGTATTGCATTAGGCAAATCTGCTGCACAAGACCTTTTTAAAGTGTTGAAGGGCAAAGATATATGTCAGCTTGAGGACTAAGGTGCGCCTGACCCAAACCGTGGTATTTTCAATAACCTCACATGCATGTGAAAGCTGGACAGTGAATAAGTAAGATCGTAGAAGAATTAATGCTTTTGAGTTATGGTGTTGGAGGAGAATATTGAAAAAGGAGTGCCATGGGCTGACAAAAGAACAAACAGATCTATGTTGGAAAAGTGCAGCCAGGGTGCTCCTTGGAGGCCAGGATGTCCAGGCTTCGTCTCTCATACTTTGGACATATTGTGAGGAGGGACCAGTCGCTGGAGAAGGATATCATGTTTGGTAAGATGGAGGGCCAAAGAAAAAGAAGAAGGCCCCCAGCGAGATGAATTGGCAAAGTGGCAGCAATGGGCTCAAGCGTGGCAACAATTGTGAGGTTGGCCTAGGACCAGGCAGTGTTTCGTTCTGTTGTACATAGGGTCGCTATGAGTCGGTACTGACATGATGGAACCTAACAACAATAAATCTTCCTCAGAGACTTCTGTGTTCTTTGATTTACACCATGTCAAAAAAGCAGTTTTAGAATCCTCTGGGGACTTGACTCATGTTCCTTTAAAATATTATTTGAGTTTATGGAATTAAAAAAGCTTTGAAGGCACAAGATCAGGGCTGTAGGGTGTATGGGGTATGGTTTCCCAATAAAATTCTTATAGGTCAGTCCTTGCTAACCTCAAAGAAACCGCACAGCACATTGTCATGAAGGAAAAACAATTCCCTGGTGCAAATTTTCTGGTATTTTTCTAACCAATGAAGTTTTCCATTTTCTTAAAACTTCTTCCTAGTACGTCCCTGTTATTGTCCAATGTCCTTCAAGAAAATCTGTCAAACTATTGTCGCAATCTTCTGAGCTTAACTCTGCTTTGAATTTAATTAGTCCAGCAGATTCCCTATTAGCTTTGGTTTTGCTCTAAAGGCTAATGGAAAGATCACTTCTGTGAGCTAGTTGATCTCTGCATAACATATTTGGCATCCATCAGCAAAAAGATAATTTAGGCCAAGAGGTTCACTTAAAATTGAAAATGCTAGACTATGTGAAATCTCAACTTGAGTAGTTACCACATCAATAGTATGTTTATGGAGTTTCTTCTAATACTTTCTGGACTAAACTGCTATATTATGTGGGTGATAGTCCCATAAACTCGTTGCAAAGCTTTAACGATGGGAAGATTTTTACTTGAGTTTTATTAAAAATTTGCTAACAGTCCTGACTGTAAATTTTTTTTTTTTTTTCTCATAGCATAAAGAATATCCTTATTTGGGAGGAACCTTAATGAGACTAATAGAAATGTATTCCTGCGAGAATCTGTCTGCAACCTCCTGCTGATCATTTGTTGTTGTTAGGTGCCAGTGAGTTGGTACCTACTAAAAGCAACCTTATTCACAATAGAATGAAACAATGCCCAGTCCTGTGACAACCTCACAATCATTGCTACGCTTGAGACCATTGCTGCTGCCACTGTGCTAATTCATTTCATTGAGGGTCTTCCTCTCTTTCGCTGATGCTCCACTTTATCAATCATGATGCCTTTCTCCATGGACTAGTCTCCCCTGATAATCTGTATGAAGCATGAGAGATGAAGTCTGGCCACTGGCTTCTAAGGAGCATTCTAACTGTATTTCTTCAACAAAGGCTTGTTTGTTTTTTGGGCAGTCCACGGTACTTTTAGTATTCTTCTCCAACACCGTAACTCAAATGCACCATTTGTTCAGCGGTCTTCCTTATTCACTGTCTAACTTTCACATGTATATGAGGCTATTGAAAATACCATGGCTTGGGTCAGGCGCACTTTTGTCCTCAAACTGACATCTTTGCTCTTCAATACTTTAAATAGGTCTTGGGGAGATTTGTCTAACGCATTTGATTTCTTGGATGCTGCTTCCATGAGTGTTGATTGTTGATCTGAGCAAAATGAAGTATTTGACAACTTCAATTGTTTCTCCATTTATCTTGATGTTATTTATTGGTCCACTGGTGAGTATGTTTGTTTTCTTTACGTTGAGGTACAACCCATAGCACTGTGGTCTTTGATCTTCATCAGTAAATACCTTAAGTCCTTTTTGCTTTCAGCAAGCAAGGTTGTATTATCTGCATATCGCAGGCTGTTAATGAGTCTTGCTCCAATCCATATGCCACGTTCTTCATATAATTCAACTTCTCGGACTGTGTGCTCAGCATACAGATTGACCAACAATGGTGAAAGAATACAATTCTGGCACACACCTTTCCTGATTTTAATCCATTTTGTGTTCCCTTGTTCTGTTTGAACTACTGCCTCTTGGTCTATGTACATGTTCCTCAAGAGCACAATTGTTTTGAAATA